CTTCTCCTTCAGCAAAAGTGGCCTGTGTCAAATCCAGGGACATGCACTGGGCATTGGTGGCGCATAGAGACCAGAGAGACATCAACCTCTCCTCTCTCCGGATGCTGATCGTGGCCGATGGCGCAAACCCCTGTAAGTGACGGTGCCAGCAGGCAGGAGAGGGCCTCACTCTCCAGGTTTCGTTCTCTGTGCTTTAATTTCCCCTTTTCTAGTCTTTACCTTAGTTAGGAAGTTGTCGTGAGATATTAACCAAGTAGTATCGCTCACCGTAGCCTCTGGGCACCAGGGCCTGAAGGTCCAGACAGCCCTGGGGTTGAGTCCTGCCTCTTGCACCTCCTGATTCTGAAGAGAACGTAACTCACTTGTTACAGCTCTTCTCTGTCAGCTGCAAGGTGGTACTCAGATCTTCACATTCTGTGAGGTTTAAGTGAAGCAGGGCCCATGTACAGCCCCTTGCGGTATAACAGGTGCTCAAGAAACACTATTATTATTTTATGGTCTATAGCAGTGTTGACCAGGAAGTTAGCTTGTCCTTTTTAATGTAATTTGATTATCAAATCTTGTAGCAGAAATTACGTAGGTAAAATAAATGAGCAGTTCCACAGAAAGCTATTAATATACCTTGAGAACTGTTTCACTCAGTCGGAACAAAAACGCAGCTAGCTTATTAATGAGAAGAACACAAGCCACACGCAGCGTGAATGAGGACAGTGAACTGAATGAGAAATTGTTTGGTTTTGACCACATGTGTAAACCCTGCAGCGTGTGTATTTGTAAGTTAAAGCAGCATCCACTTCACACCTCACAGGGAGAAGCTGACTTACAAACAGGTAATTACGTGTTAGTTTTGTAAGTGATTCTCCCATTTACAGAATAAGTCCATAAATTGTGGGCTATTTATTGCACAGTTGGTTTTACCTGTAATTCTGCAGAGTAGTGTGTCTTGCAGGAATCAAGAAGACAGTATCAGGAAGTAGTCCAGCTGATCGGTTCCTACTAATCACTCCTTCATCTCATCCCTCACATTAACGTGGAAGAGTATGTTTCCATTTAGCTGAGTTAAGACTTACCCATCTCTTGGAACAAACATGCATATTGAAAATGGTAGAGTAAGTCTCAGAAAAGTTACTGAACTTCATCCGTCAGCAAAACGGTTTTGATTAAGTGTAGAATTTTGCGTTTTTTAAATTCTTGAGCTCTGTGTTTGAGAGTGCTATCTTTCATTGTAACATAAATGATAGATTATGTTAAATGAAGTATTTTCCATGCTGCCTAACTCCTCATGTGCCCAAACCCTAACTTTAAAAGCACTTTGTATTACAGGATATTTTTAACCAGTCACACACTTCCACCGTCTGATGACCGTCCCCTCTTTCACTCTAGGGTCTATCTCATCCTGCGACGCATTTCTCAATGTCTTCCAGAGTAAAGGCCTACGCCAGGAAGTCATCTGTCCCTGTGCCAGCTCACCAGAGGCTCTCACTGTGGCCATCCGGAGGTACTGGCTACCTTGCTCCAAGGGGGTGGCCTGGGGGCGGTGTCTTTCAGCAGCTGGCAGAGGCCCGGCAGTCATCACAGCTGTCTCAGCATGAGTGCGAGCAGGGCACAGCTTTTCGAGATGAGGTTGCTCTCGTATGTGCTAGAGTGGGCTCTCTGAAGTAGTCGAGACACGTTAGTTACAGGGACACGTCTCGCTCTCGAGATTTGCAGTAATTCCCGAGTGCGTGGGAGTCTGTCCGAGGCCCAAGGAGCAGTACATCTGTCCTGGCTGGTCACCTGTGTCCTCATTTGCTTTTTATCAGGCCCAGGTTTAACTCAAGTGTGGAGCAGAGTAAATGTTAGATGAAGCAAAATTTCTGTGGCCACCCCATGCCCTTTGCCACATGGTTTTCACGTTGTCTTCTTCATCGTCTGCCTTCTACAGTACTGCACATGTTGCACTTCTAAAACTGGTTTTCTGAGCTTCTGAGCCGCTTGGCAGCACCTCAGGGCTCTTGGGCCTGGAATCTCAGGCCCCGTGGGGTTGGGCTTTGGGGTGCTCTTGCCAAGGCCAGCAAGCTCAGTGCCCTTGGCCCCTAGGTTGCTGTGGTATCACCACCTGCTTCAGAGCCCTTGGGGACAGTCAGGGCCGATCCGTGGTTATGACCTGTGGGAGCGCACCTCTCCTGGGGTGAGAGGGCTGGACAGGCGCTTTGACTGTCGGCAGCTCCCAGGTACCCACACTAACGTGGGGAGGGATGCCTGCAGCCTGTGCACAACTTACTCTTCAGCACCTTGGGTTCTATGTCTCAGTAGGGTTTGGTTCATGTCATACCAGGGTGCTCCGTTGTAAGAACGGACAACAGACCTTTCTGTGCACAAAGTCCATGAGTTCTGCTCTCTTTACTAAAAGATTTGGCTTCCCAAAAATTCACTGGAAAATTGTCCTTAAAAGAGACGCCTTCTGATGCTTTCAGATGTTTATTGATGTGACATTAATCAGACCTCCTGACTAACAGACTGAGAAATTGAAAATCTTTAAAGTATCAGAAGCAACTTTTTACTTTGATTGAATGAGAAATTTAAAGTCTATAACAATTTAAATTGATGAGGAAATATGGCACCAGGAACCAGAATCTACTACTTGGACTTTTTATTTCCTGGGAAGTTGTTAACAGAGATAGAGATCATCTGATTTGGTTAATAATGACAGAAGGACAGATTAAATGCATCTTACTCATCACATTAGGAGCAGTTGTAAGGCTGGTGGTCAGCGTCAGCATGAGCCTGCAGAAATGGGTACTGCTGCAGGGCAGCCTAGCCCTGAGGTGGGGGCGTGGGGTCTGAAGGCATGCGGAGCCGCACTTGGAGCCTGGGCGGGGCACTTCCTGTCTGCAGGGGAAAGTGTGGTGCCTGTCCCCGGGGGTTCCCGTGAGCAGTGGGTTCGCTAACAAAATGCTGGAGCAGCATTCTGAGTACATGGTGCGGTACGTGCGTCTAGTGAGTGAAAAAGTAATACTATGCGTACATTCGCAGTGGGACTGCAACGTGACAGTCTTTTGGGAAGGTACTTGGGCTTTATTAAAATTTTAAATGCATGTGCTTTTTGAGTCTTCCATTCGCTTTCTAGGTATGTATCTTAACCGAAATGTTTCCAAATGCTTAGAAACTAAATGAAATAAACATTCATATCGCTGAATACCATGTAACAATTAAAATGGGTCAATTCACAGGTGTGTCCAGGACACACGCCTTACATGCTCACATGCACACACTTACGTGGGAGGATCTGCAAGCTGTTTGGTGAGAAAAGCAAGTTGCAGAAGCATGTGCATGTGATTCTGCTTTTCTTGGGATGTAAATACGTGTGTGTGCACATTTCTTATAGAAATGCATATTAAAGAGGCTGGAGCTTTAGGTTTAACGTGTGGGTCGGGCTGCCTAGAGGAGGAAGGAGGGCGGGGGAGTGAGCAGGGGCTTTGGCCTTTGCGGTGTCCTCCTGCAGCGTGTGGCTTGTCCATAGCTTTGCTGTGCTCACGTGTTACTCATGTCACTTACTTTAAAATATCTTGAAAAGAAAGCTCCCAGGAAACTAAGAAGTGCTTGGTCGTCTAGGCTAGAGGCAGGGGCAGTGCTGAGAAAGGGGGCGGATGGCTGGGCAGAGGCTCTGCTGTGGGTTAAACATTGCTTCTTACTATCACCAACGCAGGAAAGTGGACCTCGTGACTAAGCCAGCAGACTGTGCGGTGCTGGGTCTTAAAAAAACTTCCCCTCCTGGCGTCTCAGGTGCAACCTAAGTTCTTAAATCTTCCCATACCTGGCGTGTGTCATGGCTAGTCCAGCATTTTGCTTTCATGTGGCTTTTTACAAATAAAAACAGGTGTACTTTTAAATTATTACTTGGAGTATTCGTTTGCTAGGAGCCTTTAAACAGTAGAAG